TTTGCTATCATTCAACAAACAGTATCGATGGATTCACAGCATTCACATGTATATATTCTTAAAATGGCGTTTGGGGCCATTTTTCTCATGGATGTTTTTGGGAACTTTAATCAAAAATAGTCCTATATGTAAATCCATTTCAGTATTAATGATTGATAATAGGTAATTTCCCGACTTCGCGTATTTTTGAAATGTTTTTGATTGCGTGTTGTTTAATTACACCGTTATATGGCTTATTTTTTATCTCGAATGACGATGAAAACAATGACGAATAATGAGAAAAAGAAAAGAAACACTAATGACCTGATGCTGAAAGGTCAAATTTTTGAATGTATACCTAAAATAGAGGTCCGAAGGGGTAGCCTGTTTTGGGGCTGATCTTGTAGAAATATCCAAGAAAATCTCTAGCTCGGTCCTGTTGTAATACGGGTACGCCTAACTTTGGGTTATTCATAAGACTCTAAATAAAAATGAGACATTTAATAATACGAGTTTTCTATGAGGAAAATAGATGAACGAGATTTCGATACAACTCTTAAATTGTCTGAATGTATATACTGAAATTGTTTGAGACGAAAATTATAGACCATCACATTGCACTCCGGGCTTATGACTGATCAGACTCGTCTCCGAAAACTTTTTCGCCATATACTGCAGGGTTTTCTGCTGTATATCGGTAAGCCTTAAATACTTTGAGGCATTTTCCAAAACTTCTCATGACTAGAACAAAGAAAATTTATTACAATATGATAAAGAGCTCTGTAAAACGAGGATAGTTCCATGTCATATTACGAATTTCGTCCTTATGTATGCTACATATCCATTGTTTTATGTATGTTCGCTGTCATTTAATTTCAGTTTATCGCCAGAAGTACAGTTTTAATGTCCGTCCAATTTTAAGAAATTTTTGTCGAAATAGCGGTGAGGCGAAACAAAATAGATAAAAGCCGATTCCGAAATACACCGATGACCATATCAAGAGCAGAGCTCGAACAAGTGAATTCGTATATGAATCGAGTCCTTGATAATAGCCTCGACTGACGGTGTAGATATGATAGGGGACTTGTGTAATGATATACATTGTTACATTGGTGATCATCATCAATACCAACATACGTTCTACGGCGTTCAATCGACGTAATTTCAAAATATTTCCAATTCTGGTTGCATTTGGTGTTGGCGGTGATATCGTTGTTTTCAGTCGTTCTCCTTGCTGCTTCTGTTGTTGCTCATATACTGTGAGTGTACCTTCCATTTCAGCCCCCACCCGCCGTCGAGACCGACGAATATTACTCAACAATCGAATATTCGCCGCTGCCATAGTAATCACAGGGATCAGGCAAACAAGAATCAAACGTAATGGTGCATGAACTTGTATAAGGAAAAGATAATAAATTGCATTTGTATTGTAAACACACTGGCCATTGGAATCAAATTTGTTCAATGGGCAAAACCAAAATGACGAGAAGAGGGAGAAGAAAACTGCAAATACAATTGTTGCTTTAACGACATTATTTTTTGTGCAAATTGATTTTGATTTCATTGGGTATTCAGATCGAAGCCATCTGTCACACGCAACAGCTGCTGCAAGACACGCAGCAATGCCACGGCTCACGTTTTGTACCTGAAATAAACCCAGTTACAATATATTTTTAACCTTGTTTCTCAAGAAAATAAGCCACAAAGGCTGAGACAACGTAGATCAGAAACGGACTCAGATCAACTCGTAGAAGTTTAAAATGATGGAAATATTGCCTCTATTTTATAAAAAAATGTGTGAAAAAGCTCAGTGTTTTACGTATGTTCAACTTTTGGCAACCTTGGCGCGGATCGGGTCAAAGTTTTGAAGATCTTTTCGGGTCGGGCGAGAAAAGGCTAGCACTCACAGAAGTGACCCATTACGGTCACATCGATCTCTATCAAGGTTCGTCATGTATGAACACGGTGGTTGAGAGCATATAACAGAGCTTCATATGGATTGGGTTTAGATCTTCCATGGACTCGTCCAGACTCTAAAAAATGTTTTCAATAGACTTGCATTGGAGAAAAGAGTAGGAAAGGCTTTGTTCTTTTTTTTGTAAAAGACGGCTGTACAGCTCTAAAGCTCGCCACGAACCTTAACTAAGTGCATGTAGATGGTCTGAGTTTCAAACCATGAGACGTTAGTTACACTCGATGCGCAGTAGCTCACCCAGTTCTATATGAACACGATGAAGAAAATAATTTAGCCAGCGACAACGCCAGTCTTTTGTCCATAATTCTGGCTTAGACAACTAAATATGATGCGTGTTTTTAACAGAAGCTACGAAGCAAGTTGACGACGTAAGAAAAAACGGACCATTTTCGTTTTTTTATTTTATCTTGACTTTTGCGTAACAGTCTAGATGTCTTTTAGCGACAAAAACTGAGCATCTTCAAAAACACTCTCGCCATAACATAAGCCCAAAATTAGTTGCAAAATTTGAGTCCAATTTTGGGTCTCCGGAAATGTTTATTTCATGGACTAGACTCCAAAAAGAATTCTGTGAATGGGTTCCGGTCGAACTGAACTCGAAAATTAGAATCAATACGGAGCTCTGATGTTAACTGTTCGCATTTTTACGGTAAGCACTTTCTGTGCTAATTCACATCCTATGTTTTTTAATTTAAAATATGCCAAGGAATCGAACTCATAAAGCAGGCTAAAGATGTTCAAAACCTGTTTCGATAAGACAACTTCTATTCACTCTCACCTTTCGTCAAAATCGTGATGCAGAAGCTACTTACGAAATTCTGCAGTTGACATCTCATGAATGCCACAGGATACAAATATATGCCGTAAACATTAAGAAAATCAGTGCCTAACGTCCACAAATGAATCGTATTGAACACAGTCATCAACAGAAACAATAGTCCCGTAGATATTTTTTGAAACTCCGGCTGTGAAGAAAATACGATCAATGACAGAATATTACCAAGAAATCCGCCACCATAGGTAAAAAAGGCGAGCACCGATTCGAAATACAACAGAAATTGTAAAGGTGGAGTGGTTTGAGTTGGAATAACTGTTGTCATCGATACTGGCCATGTTGTTGTTGGTACTATCATAGTAGTGTTAGTGTCGTAACTATCATCAGTGGTATCATTTATGAAAAACGATATTGTTGAGAATAATAATATTGGATCGTTGTCGTTTGAAATAAATGCCATAATATTAGTCGACAACATTTGTCTGATAAAATACCAATAATTGAACGGTGTGTGATGTAACATACCTCGAAGAGACAATGCTTTTACAATCAAATCAAAAATGAAAACTGTTTCATATCATTGCTCCTTTCCTTTTTATACGTGCGTAATCCTCGGATAATTGATCTCGTTCTCAGTTGTTTGTTATTCCAAGAAAGAAGAAAAATGTCTTGCATGTCAAGCTATTAGCCATAATTTATTATAGATAATCAAACAGATATGATGAAAAGTAGGCAGTTTGTCATTGTCAGGAGAAGTGGTTGTGACGCACTTATTGAAACATAACAAGGATCATCTTCTAGACTGTACAGAGTCATCACAATTTCTGCGTTCTGCATAGAAAGTTCACAAGTTACAAACGGAAACTTTAGCCAGCAACTTATGAGTTGTCGGTCAGGAAAAGTCATATCGGACAAGATTGTCATAGAGGAGAGAAAAGTTTTTGTCATTTGTCATTTATGTTCTTCATGGAAGTAGGAAAAAACAACGGATTACATAACAGAGGCCGAAAGGAATCGCCCAAAATCGGACTGATCCTACGTTCGAAAATCCCATTTGAGCAAGATCCTCTGATGTCATTCAATTACTTTCCATCTGCATCTGCCATTTATTTAACGAACAAATTCTAGGAAACCGGCCATGGTGAGTGTTGCAGCAACGTCTGTTTTACCAAAATATTTAAACACGATTCAAGGACTGGAAAACGGAAAACAGCTTTGAACAGAACTGGATTTCCGAAGGGTTTTTTCAGAAAATTCTATAAATAAATATTTACATATTTCGTATTTCAGTTCTAGAATCAAGTTTAACATATGAGACTTAGTGTATCCTGGAATTTTTAAGTTTTGAAAAAAATCATTACACCAAAAGTTATAAATAGTCCTACTTAGAAGTATACAAGAGTCATATTATAGAAAAAGTTGAATTCCTGCGACTCAGGTTGAGGCGTTGACGGAACAACACAAGAAAGAAAACAAATATCCTGTTTTGAGCTCTATTGCTACAACTGATGTGTGAGCATGTCGGCATTACGTATTCAGATAGTGTGTGAAACTCATTTTAAATGTCACACTTGAAATGAGATATAGGTCGAAATCTTTGTAAATCGTAATGTTCGTGGTTGTTGTAAAATTAATACATCATTATTTTATAATTAAACTCAATAGGCCAATTATTTAAATAACAGTAACTACTTACAAGATTAAATTTCTCATGATGGTGTAATAATTTCCTGTTCTGTTTTTCGTTATATGTTGCGTGTTTGTACTGACGTACAAAAAATGCGCATTAAAACATGCCCTAATGATAGTTAATATTAAACTATGAAACATTAGTGAAAGAGAAGTTTCGTCTTTGTGTTGTATCACGCGTCTTTAGAATTTGTCATGTAAATAATAAAATTACCACTAATGATCTACAACTATAATTTCAAAATATTCTCTCTCGATTTTAACCCATATTTTTGATAAATGGTGAACAAACTATTGATATCTGCTTTGAGTGATGGGATACCAATAGCACCTTTGCTTGAACACAATCCTAGAAATTTAGTATAACAGCAGTATATAATATTTTTATTCAAAAAGAAATGACGGACGTGATAATGTGCGGGTGTAACGGATCTGCTCTTCCCTCTTTTGTATATAGATCAGGTGTCTTTCCGGCTGTTCTGGATACTTCAAAATATTATTTTTTTAAGTTTTTCATTATCTTTCCATTCCTGTGTCTGAATTGAGCAGAGAAGGCAGTCAGCCGGCACCCCCAAACCAGACTGGAACGTTCGAACTTTAAGGTCCTCCATGCTTGTTGTCATTTGACCGCCACTGTGTGCGAATGAATTTCGTGGCATTCTTATCCATTTTCGTTTTCAGTAAACTATTTGATGTGGAGATGGGAGTCCAGGTACTGAACGAGGTATGGTAGTTTGAGAGCGTAATCTTAGAGCGGAGGACCAGCGACTGCTCGAACTTGAAACTGACATCAGTGTTATCAAGTGATGGAAATATTGTACCTGTAGTGAGACCAGGATTTTCAACTCTAGTTTAAGCAGAATAAATTTTTAGAATTGGAGTTGCTTCTCTTGCTCTCTTCTTCATTCTGCCAATAACATTCGTAGATTTATATAGATTAGTAAGCTTCTTTTTTCAGTCATTCTAAGCGCCTTCAAATTGTATAGTACAGAACAGGACGATACCACCAGCATGAAGTGGAAAAGATGTCAGATTATTATTGTTACTCGTTTTATACAAAGTTCATTAAATAAATTTAAAAGCCGAATAATTTAGTGTATGTGCGCATACGCGGGATGACATGAGAAATCAATTAAGGACGAATCGAGGCTAAATAAATTTGACCGCATGTATTGACAGATTTAGAATTTAAAGTACATGTGACAGACACGAAAAGTATGAAATACGTGCGGTTGCAGTAGAAGCACAATTTTGTGAGGCAGTTCGGCTGAGTAAAAGTCCTTTTTTTTCCTCTAAAGCTACGAGCGACCGCTCATACCGTTCGTTGATTGAAGCCACCAGCGACCACATTTACACCTTTTTAGATTTTGAACTTTTTCCGCACTAAAACTGCGTTCAAAAACTTAATAATGAGATTTTCGTATGTAACTCGATGAGCTCTATCTAAGAATCTCAAAATAAACGAAAAAAAACTCTTGTCTCACTTTCAAATTTTCGATACTTTACTTCCGAATCGAAACGTTTGATATGTGCATAATCAGGACGCGGTACCGCAATTATTTGTTATTATTCTGATGGAAGAAATTGTTTATGCACCTTTCGTACTGCCACTTGTCATTGACCTACCATCACCAACGGGCTTTCTGGATATTACATCATCATTTAGAGTTTCGCGAATTTCTGACTGATGATGATATGTGAGAAGAGTTGATGGAGGAATATTTTCACTTCAAAAATTTTTTGTGATCATACGATTGAAAATTTTAAGAAACAACCAGATTACTCGTTATTGAATGTATTGACTCATCTATTGAAGAAACAATAACAAGTAGTATCCTATCTTTGAAATTATATTAGATAGAAACTAACGCGTTTAGCAGGATGTTTTTTGTCACATTCCGGACGTTCAAACGCGTTACTGATCAACGCGTTTCACAGCGTTGATAGTCACCGCGTTAGAGCGCGTTATAATTTAACGCATTTGAACGCCCTAAATGTGACAAAAAACATCCTGCTAAACGCGTTAGTTTCCAATGCGTTTAAACGCGCTAAACTTTTAAATTTAAAAAAATTAAAAATTAAATTCAGAATCGAGCTTACTTGAACAGAGAGTCTTCATGCTCTCACACGGCCGTCCACAGCTATCTTAATGTCAAGGTTCACAAGTTAAGGAAGAGAGAAACTAAAACAACTTACTCTGCTGTGGCGATAATTCGAACGTGGGTACCTAGAATTAAGAAGCAAGCATAGAGCAGATTGAGCTAAAGATGCTCGAAAGATGAACTGTGTCATCAGTACGTGTTTCGAGTATCGATAGCTTACTGAAAAGCTTTTCTGTTTGCTTGCTTGCGTCTTAATTCTAGGTCTCGAGCAGCTGTTTTTTACTCTTGCTTACAGAGATCTTTCATTTTGCTCGAAGTAAAATAGCCTTAAAATCACTTTTTATTTCCCGAACTAGTGACCGGGAGGCTCGAATGAAAGTAATTACTGAGTTACTGCGAAAGTTCGAACACAGTCGAATTTCGAGGTCTTGTGCGTCTCTATCTATATGTACACTGGTCACACACTGAATAACCAGAAACTCTGCTAGGAGAAGGATTTCACATATACTATTTCAACAATGGAAAAGTGAAGTAAAGTAGTGGCCAAAAGTCTCACCTACTTTTTTGTTTTTATGTATCTAAATAAAGACGAGAATTATTATTTATATTCATATGTATTCTTACTCAACTGGTCAAACTCTATGAGTACGCATATGGCTAGTCTGCATAAACAAACTTGGGAACGCAGGAGAAAATGTAACTTAACAATGGGGAACAAATTGCTCTGCACATCAAAAGTATTTTTTTATCTTTCATTTGTTTGTATTTATTATATTTTTAATTGACGATGAGTAGTTGAATTAAACAATTTATGTTGTTAGATTATATCAATGATATATTAACTCAAGCTATTAGTGCGCTTGACATATATCTCATATATTTATTTATGGATAAAGCACGTATTTATAATAAACAAAAAATCTTAGACATATTTCGTCAAAGACAATGTGAGCAAATAATAGATATTCAACTACTACCCAAACTCTGCAAAAAGAATTAGTCCTTTTGATAATTCATTTTTTTCTGAATTTAAAAACAAAGTTCGACAACATTCACAATTATCAGAAAGTAACATTAAAATAGCAATGATCAATTCATATTATGCAATATCCAAACAACATATTAATAATTATTATCATCATTGTGGGTTCATGCGTGGAGTCAATGTCTATCATGATTGTCCTAAACCAAGCCAACATCAACATTTAGCATAAAAATATCACAGATCACATTCATGTGCAAAATTTTTTTAAATAAAAAGATAGCTCCCTTTCATCGTATTTATGCATTGTATATCTAGGTGTTGTAAGTTACTACCCCTCAGCTATATACGCATATAATTATATTGAAGTAATGTTGTTTATTTTTCATACAATAAGCAAAACACAAAAGTGGGGCGAGACTTTTGGTCGCTACTGTATGTGAAAGCAGAAGGTGCTTGAGGTCTTGCACTAAGTAAATTCCACAAAGTTGCGTCTTCTCTGATCCTCCTGATCAGCCTTATGGTCCTGCTCCCTTTGGTTATCTACCTTCTTTTCGCTATACTGCGAAGGAATATGCTTTAAATCCGGTGAACCGCGTTAGATTATAACGCGTTTAGCAGCAGCATCTACGAAATGCTTCCAAACGCGTTCAGCTGCGTTAAAGGTATCGAATTACGATGCGAAATGCGTTAGTTAGTAAATGTACCTAAACGCATCTGTTTCTATTGCGTTTGGGAGACATTAACGCGTCCAAACACGCTTAACTTGAATGCGTTCGAACGTGTTAGCCATTTGAACGCGGCAAAATGAGTTTATTTTCACAGCGGTTTAGCGCGTCAGTTTCTGACGCAGCAAAACGCGTTTCAAACTAACGTATTTAAACGCATTTATCACCGATTAACGCGTCCAAACGCGTTCAGACACGTATTTGGTGCAAAAAAACGCGTTTAGCAGTGCGTTTGGTTCAAAAAATGTCTACCTGGGAAACACGTAAATAACGGGTGCGCCATAAATAAATGCGCTGTTAGTAATTTAAATCTTTCTCCTCTTCCTTACACTCAGTCGAACTGATTCTACTACCAAAAGATTCCCCGTTCAATTCTCTACAAAATGGCATATAAACGACAAGCCAGAACTTTGAGACGTTGTTTCAGCTGAATAAAATGAGATGTACCTCGAAAACGAGGAAAATGTAATCGTTTTCTACTAAACTTTTTTAATTTGAAATCTATGCTAAAAGAGGGATGCAAGCCTTATCCTAAGTTGCCTCTCTACACATTCAGATGTTCTCTATCTGACAGAGCAGAATTCATTTCCCCTTCTTGCGTCAGTCTGGTAAAAATGGCTAAATAATTACTTGCCGTGAGAAATCAGCGAAATGCCAATGTGATGATCTCGTCTTTTTCAAAACCAAATTATTTCGTACAGTTTACATGTGAATTTAGTAGGAAAAAATGTTCTTTCCCAAATGACACCCGAGCAAGCTTAATTGGTTTACTTCTGTCCGAAATATGATCAATCTGCGAATAGCCCTAACACGTAACTCGAAAAAGCCATGATAGGGCTTTACGGAAACTATGATTGTAAGCGCAAAATAAAGGGAAGAAATTCGTCTTAGCTGCCAATCAACAGAGAATTTCAAGGGCTACAATTCTGTATATTCGGTTCGATACGACTAAACAATTTGATTTATTATCGGCGAAATACTCCTTTTTCTAGTTAAATTTTTCACGTTCTCGTGGTACATCACATTTTGTTCAACTGAAACAACGTCTCAAAGTTCTGGCTTGCCGTTTATATGCCATTTTGTAGAGAATTGAACGGGGAATCTTTTGGTAGTAGAATCAGTTCGACTGAGTGTAAGGAAGAGGAGAAAGATTTAAATTACTAGCAGCGCAGTTATTTATGGCGCACCGGTTATATACAAGAAATGTATTTATTTCCTTCTTAATCTAGATCTATAAATTAAATAAGAACTTCATAAAAACTTTAGTCTTTTTTTTACCACAATCACAATGATGAAATCAAGCATTGATCATTAAATTTCAAAGAACGATTACAAGTAAAATAGGTTACACTTTCGAACACAAGCCATTAATTATTATAATACATGATTGATTATCTTTTCCACATTGTTGATTTTGTATACAACATATCTTTCCACAGCAAACGGGATACTTTTCATAACAACAAGTATCTGGACAACAAATGGATGAAGTTACTTCACACAATGACGTTGTTTGAAGCTTTCTTTTAAGAAAGCCAACGCCAATGTACTGAGAATCTTAGTCGCTTGGACGTGTAAGAATATACCTCGGTAACAGACACTTTTAATAACAGTTTATTTTCCAGAAGTTTTTTAAAATTTGTTCCGAACTAATTTTACTATGATAATTTCTATGGTCACATGTAGATACGGTTAAACAAAGTATCTATAACATTGTGCTATTGCTGAACTAGTATTCCACTAAAAGATAAATTGAAAAATTCGAACTGTCCTAATTTGCATTCTCTAATATATTTTCGTAAATACGATGATAACTTTCAATTTCATTTAAACTGAATGGACGATAGTCTGACTCTTCCATTTGTAATTTCCAACTACCATCTGCTTCATATTCGTCATTTAATTCAATACCAAATTCACTTTTGTATAGTTTCACCTGCTCATCTCCGCTGACATTACGTTGAAGTTGTTTGTGTCCGTCTGGACGAGTGGTCACAGAATATTTTCTATTAATCAACGTTACAAGTCTATTGTCGGTTCTGACTATGATTACTAGCGGGCAGTGACTGAATGTTGCTCCTACTTTCAATACTCTACTCAAACCTGGCAAATAGTTATTGTAATCAAATGAGTCTTGTTTCTCCGTCAACTTCCATCGATAACGATTAGTCCAAGTTGATTTCGACTTACAGAAATACTGAAGGTAATCATAATCGAGATCACTGTTGGCTCCATTCATAATTCGATACTTAAATCCATCACACAATGTTTGTTCAAAATTGTACTCATATAATAATTTATCAAGCTGAGATGGTCCGAATCCGACATCTACAAGATATATTTTCTGTTCATTTAGTTGTACAACTAATGCCAAATGTCCATCATCACTGTAACGACCTTCTTCGTCTTTGTCTTGAGAGAGATTCACACTTGCGTGAAGATAGCTGACTTTAAAATGTTTTGACACGTTTTCTAATAACCATCCGAATAGTCCGTTTAATTCAAAACAAAATCCACCTTGCCTTTTAACGATTATTTTATCAAATAAATAGTTACGATGCAATAAAATCGGTTTATGACGATGCATAGAAAAATTTTCAAATGGAATATTGATTAAATGACAAAATATGAGTTTTGATAAAAGTTGATCCGACGAAATGTTGTTGATTAGTAATGATGAATCTAATCCGATTCGTTTAAGATATTCATCGATTTTTTGACTGTCATTCAACGATGAAATAGTACGAATAAACTCTCGTTGTTGAGGTTCTGTTACTACGGTAAAGTCGTTTGATGTCATTTACGGAAACAATATCTATAGTAATACCGAATAGGAAAATCGAATCTAAAAATCGGTTTTTAGTCCGAAACCCAACTTAAAAGTTCTCGTATAGTGTTCTTGTGTAATCCATGTTGTAGAGCATGTCAAACTACCCTTGTGTACCAATTTTGAGCATCACACGACTTCGGGAACGAAAATTCGAAGTTTGTACGGTCATTTCAGTGCATATGATCACAGCCTGTGAGACATTTATCGAAAACTTCGAATTTTCGTTCTCGAAGCCGTGTGATGTTCAAAATTGGTACACAAGGGTAGTTCGACATGCTCTACAACATGGGTTACACGAGAACACGATACGAGAAGTTTTAAGGTGAGTTTCGGGCCAAAAACCGATTTTTAGAGGTTTTGATTTTGACCTTTCCTGGACAGACTTGAAGTTTAGTAAATTTTCTGATTGTGTATGGTTGTAGAGAAATGTTTGCTCTATCAAACTCATGTCGTACGACAACTCCATGCTATAAGAACTTTCGGCGCTAAGTCCACTTAAAGAAGTTCCACCGATAGGTAGCATCAGAAGCCGATGCAGTTTGCTTGAATGTTACATTTCCTGATAAAGTTATCTTTTCTCTTTCTAACAACGCAAACCACACGTCTCTAGCTACTTCCGTTGAGAAGTTATTCAAGTTGCAACCAACTGCATTGTCCTATAAAATGGATAGTAGTAGCTCTCATAAAATTCTGAGCTCGAACGGATAAAGTTTTGGTGGAATCAGTACGGTACGCAACGAAAACCTGGTTTGCAAGAAAAACATACCGAAATGTCAGTTGTAATGTTTGAGAACATTTTATCGCATTTATTTTTCTCAAAGATACTCTAGTAAAAGTTCCAACTCTCCCCCATCAGTCGTTACGATTCTGTAATAACACAAAACATGAGGGGGATACTCATAAGCCCGATGATCTGAAAAGATCTTTTTCTTTGTTGAACGAACAGGAAATATTCGTAGAACAAGCGCGTCCCATAGATTTCAGCTTTCTATCCCACTTCCGCTGAAGAGTTTTGAAATCTCTCAGTTATAAATGCTTACAGCTCGTAATTTTCAGTCGAAAATTTTAAATAGTTATGACCAGAGTCAAAAGTTATTTTTCATTGACTTCGTTTTTCACTTTTTTCCTATTTTCATTGCAGTTTTATCGCATGTTATTGAGTGTCAATGGCTAACCAGACCCGTTAGTAAAACCGTGCGTCACTTCGTAAATCTATCTAATTTTTTGCTTGGAGATGAAACCAAGTATTTTATACCATTTGAACCGTCCGTAAACGTTCTATTTATCATCCTTTTTAGAAACTGTGGAAACCGAAAATATCTGTTCGCGGAATTTTAATCTAATTTTTTTCCTTCCGACTCACTTCTTTATTTTGCTTTCGAGTGATTCACTTATGGAAAGACTATGACTCAGTTTGAATCTCTACTAGTTTATAATTTATTTGTCGACCTATTGTGAGAGAAAAAATATTGCCAAATGGCTCACTGACACGGCAGCTGTCAACCGCGCTTTTACCAATGAAATGTTATGAAAGCGTTCAGTCCTTAAACAATGGAAAGAAATTGATCTTTCATAAAAAAAAGCTAGCTGGTCCATTAGTTACCTAAAGTTTTAAATGTCTGGCTAATTGCTGAAGGAAAGGACCAATATTTTGACTCTTGCCATGAAGAAAATAAAAAGTTTCGGAAAATTCTCGCTATCCAGCGGATGCTCTCGGCTAAGGACGTAAAAATGACATTACGTACTGATTTTGATGACCTTAAGTGATGATTGTTTCAGTTTCGTCTTTGAATCTCTTATTCGTTCGATGAAGGAAAAGTTCTTTTCAGAAGAAACTAGTATATGATCTCGATTTAAGCATAGCGTTACAAAGAAAATGTGTTCATTACAAAATTGTGTATTCGCACACACGTGCAAACTATACGTCCTTGTAACAAACTGGATGAAAAACTTCACTTATCTTTGTGTTCGATGTTTTCTTTTTTTTCTTCTCGCTTCTTTCTTTCAATTCTATCTGTTGTATGTTTGTAGTTTAACCTATCACATACGTACATCCACTATGAAAATGATGTCTAAGTCTTACCTCTTTCTCTTTTTATTATCACCTTTTTCTCCAATTCTTTTCATGTAATATAGGAGGCATAATACATATCTAGTACGAACATGCGTACATATTCCATGTGACAAGAACGATAAAAAAAAATTTCCTCTAGTAGTCATTACATTAGTAACATTTCCTCTTCAAATATATCTGTCATTCATTCGTACAGCCTACTTGCATAACAACAAGATAATATGAAATGAAGCCACTTTTATAAAAAAAAACTTAAATTCGACTTAAGTGAAAAACTAAGTTGACATTAAGCCATACTTAAGTTTTGCCGTAACTGCGTTTTATAAAAACTTAAGTGTAACTTAGCATTTAAGTTAGAAAATTGACTTAAATGTATTTAGTACTAGATAAATGATACATGATATGACATAGAGCATAAGACAGCGCTGTAAAGTAGAGCTTCTTGTATTAGTCCTCTGGTTTCTTTACAAAGAAAATTGCATTTCATTAACTACCAAAGTAAAAAATGATGGGCCACAGTGCAGTTTAGAACGATGGTTTCATCTTACGTCAATCGACTATTACAACAAAGCTAAGAGGACTGTTACAACAACGATGTGGTAGAACTAGTCATCAGTCCGCTTGTAGCTGAAAAAGTCTTCTAAGTTTAAGCAGAAGAATGGTGTTTGGGCACACGAGCAGCAAAATTACTTTTTATAGCCGTTAAATGAAGATAGTCATACTCAACTGCTTTTTTCTGCGCGTAAACAAAGATGAAATCGGCTGTCTTCTTTTCTCCTTGTCGGAAACATAGAGTGTGCTCGGTTTGATTGAGCGTCAGTGCAGCTATGCAGGTACATATGAACAAAGTCACATTTTCACTGAGATATTTGCTGCAAAGCAAGTTTCTTTTAGTAGCACGAACTATCTGTGGCACAATCACATGTAATAAAGCAATAATAGCCGCTTTTTGAAATCTGCATCGTGCCAAAATCATATCATCTGTCTGGACATGGACGGGACCGATAGTGGAACTAAGATTTCTTTTGACAGTTGTCTAAAATCAGCTAAAACTTGGCGTTTTCTCCGATGCAGAATTAAGTCAAATTTATTGATTTAAGTCACCAAAATAGCTTCAGTTAAGCAAGAAACTAAGTATAAACTTACGCCAAAAATCATACTTAAGTTTTTTCATAAAACACGATTTTTTATTCTTTCCGACTTAAATCTGACTTAAGTCATACTTAAGTTTTTTTTATAAAAGCAGCTCCTGGACTCAAATAGAGTACAGCTTCTGTTAGACAGATCCCTATCACATTTTCGACAGTTTTCAAGTATTTGTTCTCCGTTCAATTGCGATAATCATATCCTTGGACATCATTCTGGAACAATAATTCACAAAAATTTACTGTTGCATAGAAGCATATCTCTCTTTCTTTTCTTATTGTGCCTATGCATACTTTGCTTTTCGTCCGATACATTTCTTTCTGTTGTATGTGTGTACTTGCACGTCTTTACTGTTAAAAATGTTCACTCATCTCCTACGGTCTTGACAAGTTATATTACCGACGAAGCGTATTGCATTTCTTTTATCCACTGACTATCAACAAATTCTATTATTAATGTCGAATTTTTTAAAGAAAATTTATTACGCTTCATTGTTCTGTGCATCCACAACATCTTTCACTAACGATCTTTTTTTCCCACTTCTTTTGCAATGACTTCGTTACTACTTCAACTTTAGTCGATATTTCTGTAATTTGTTCTTGACTTATTGTTATTACTATCGGCGCCAAAATATAGTACGGCTGACTGTTTTTTGAATAACTTTTCATAGGAATGAGCTAGAGATCTGCGATTTTTGCTATTCGATAGCCAAGACTTGAGCGGAACTTTTCGCAAGCGGAAATAACTTTTGAAAAAATTTCAAATATCGGGTTTCCAGAGGATTTATGGAAAACCAGCCCCGTTCTCAGAAAAGTAACATACAACGTTGGTAACCTTTTTGCATGCGTAGATAGTTCGGACGTTACTCCACAAAATTATGCAAGTCCCGGCTCTCCAGCTGTCTTCGTTCGGATAGACCTCGCTGTGCCCGAGCACGTGTCTGTCTCCGAGCAGACATCTCTGGGAATCTCGAAATACCATGGAATATAGGTAATCGACTACACTGAGCATAGTGGCAACATTTGTTTTTGTGTAAAACTGAATATAACTTCGCCAGAGGCATTTTTGTGAAAAAACGCTTTTTCGCCTGTTACTATCAAAACTTACAAGCCTTATAGCTCGATGAAAAAAAAGTTATAAAAAGTTTCGCTCAAGTCTTGGCTATCGAACAGCGAAAATCGCAGGTCTTTATCTCATTCCTGTAAAAAGTTATTCAAAAAAACACCCAGCCGCACTATATTTTGGCGCCGATAGTAGTTTCAATCAGTAATACTCCAAAAACGAAGTTTTATGGAGATATGTTTTGAATGTTTTCTAATTTCTGTGTTTTTCTGCTTTTGTACTCCACTCTTCAACAGAAAACGGGAAAAAAGTATTGATTTTATTAATTATTTCTGAACGTTGGTTGTCTGTATCCGATGCATGCGTTTGCACGTGTTAGCGTCACCAATGTGTCATTGATGTGCCTTCCTCCTCTGGAAATATTCTCTCTGTATTCTATTTGATATTGGAGAAATTTCCAGAAAGGGTTAGTCATAATAAAGTATGACTGATAAAACTTCACTTTTGTACCTCTTACCCTTTTAGAATTTTGTGAGATTTCAATGCAAAATGAAGCTGTTGTTCTGCGGAGATTCCTAAGCTTAAACTGCGAAATAATTAGTAAACACCTATATCAATAGAGTTTTCTAATTCTTAATTTCTTGATTATTACTTTCCGGGATGGCGTCGATTTTCCTAGGAGCGGTCA